AAGGCCACCAAGCTACACACCCCCAGCCTCTCTGCTGCCCTAGAGCCACCCACCAGCACACCTTGGGCGAGCCATAAGACACTCCATCCCAGGGCCAAGAACCTCATGGGCTCCCCTTTCCACGACATCCACGTACCACTTTTGCAGAGTGGAGAACTGCAGCCATAGCCCCCCCAGCTGCTTATACGGGAACAGCCCCAACTCTACTGTTATTGGAGGCAGTAATGCTAATCCCCTGCCCCTGCTTCCCTCACTCTCCTTGGGAGGCAATGAGCTAACACCTACACAAAAATACAGCAAATACAACACTAGTGAATATAAAGATCTGTTTGTGTGTCCCAAGATGAGATTTCTGAACAGAACTGGCACTTACATAGCCACATTTAAAAACATTGACCGTCTTCATCTCAGTCTCCTAGCACATACCATGCATTTTACAGTCAGTGTGATTTTAAAAGAAATGGATGCATAAAGCAGCTGTGTCTACTCACTTGCAAGTTATTATTGGCTCTCTGTGCTCCACATTTTCTGATTTTCAGATTGCATTTTGAAAAGCAATCAAAAAAATTACAATCTTCATCTCCTGTGCAGTTCTGCTCAAGGATGTCCCTCATTTTGGGTTCAAAAAAGGCCATATCCACATCGATGGCCACCACCTGTGGATCAAACCAACACATTAGATCTGGCACAGCCCAGCCCATGGGACTGTTTTCTTCTGGATATGCTGCGCTGAGAGCATCTGCCAGTGGGGAACTGGGATCACAATGAAGGGGCTTTATTTCACTTAACTGAGCTGCACTAGCCTTATAGATACCACTTTTTAAGCAAAACCAGCCAATGCTTACGACACTAGGAAAGGGAAAGTTATTTGTGGACAACATGCATCCCTGGGGTCACCTATATTGATTCGCCTTAAACTGGGACTACACAACTTGAAAATCAATCTGCTTGTTGTTGCAGCTTATGCAGATGTCCCCTCCACCTTTGAATTAAATGATGGTGCAAAATTATCTACAGGCCAGATGGTATAATTTCAAATTAATCATTCAGACTAAAAGCCTGATTTTATCATTGTGGAGAGGAGTAGGTGGATGTGCAGAAATACCTGCACCTGCTACAGCTCCTGCAAAGCTGCCACTGCACTTGGTGGGTTTGCATATGTTTAGCGGTAGAAAGAGATCCCTGTGGTTGTTGAAAGTTGGGACTGGCTTTGCCCTGTCCTGCTCACTGTGGCTTGATTCATTTATTGGGCAAGATTCTTGTTCTGCTTGTCCAGGAATATGGTCCATAATGGATTCCAGCCAGCAATTGGTCTCAGCAGAAAAAGCAAGGACTGAAGTGATCAATTAGTTCTCTCACGCTGACACAGGGCTTGCAAAATGGTGAATAGGCAGCACAAAGAGGGCTGCAGAACTGCTGCCCATGCTAGGTTTGAGATCACTCAGGGAGCTTTAGTCCTAGTTTCTGTCACCATCACTCCACCCATGGATAAAAAAAAAATCACAGCAATAAACAAGGAAAGAAAGGAAGCCAGTAATGGGATGGCAGCTGCTTGATGTGGGACAAACCATGTGTGTCTGTGGTGACCACAGCCTGCCTTCAGCGTCATGGGTGCCGCAATCAACGTACAGTCAGAGCTGCACTTAACACTTGACAGTCAGGGTCAGAGATGCTCCCTTGCAGCGGGTGACACACATTTTGATGCAGGAAAACATCCGAGGCCCAGGCAAAGCAGAGTTACTTGGTCTTAAACAATAATCTCATTTTTTAAGACTCAATCTCCCAAATAACAAGGGGAAGCTGAACTGCATGGCTGGAGCAGCAGCTGGATCAACCCCAAGAACTAAAGATATCAGGTCTGGTAGAAGGCCAAATAAACCTTCCACAGGCAAAAGAAAGGACAAGGTCTAATCTTCATTCTATTCTACTTCTTTTTCCCTGGGGAAGATTTTAAAGAGATAAGGCATAGCTTAAGAAATCAAGTATTTTTAAGCTTCTTGGAGAACTTGATAATAGTGATGTAGCCTAAATCATTTCACACTTTTGGATAGGCAATTTTTTTCTTTTATTCTTTACTTCCCTTGAGCTTTCTGCAGTTCTGCTGTTCAGTTCTTTGGAGAAGGGGCAGAAAAAGCAGTGCAGGATTTCCCCAGCTCTAGTGTTGCTGCATCAGCTCTCAGGTGGGGTCTCTGCCAGCACTGAGCACCTTTGATAATCTGATCAATTGCTCTGCTCTGAAAAACAGCCCTGGTTTCCAATTGTGCGGCTGCCAGAGTTCAGTGGCTTCACTATTACAAAAATGTGTGGGCATCCATCCAGACCCTGTGAAGACAGATCTTGGTGACACTCTAACTTTGAACAGCTACATTTTGGTGGGGTTTGTTATGACTGTAACTGATGATGAAGTTACCTAAGGAGGACTCAACTTGGCTCCTAACCTGAGTTAAAGTCATGTTTAAGGTGCTATAATCTTTCTAGTTCTCTCTGAGGTGCTGGTAGAAGAGAAAGCTCTCCCAGAGCACTGTATATTCATCCAGACCTCCTTCCAACCCTGCACCCTGTGCAGTTCTGTAGCAGCTTTAAATTTCCCCAGATGATCTACCAGGCAGTGATATCTCCTCTCCATGCTGCAGGAACAGCATGTGAATGCTGAAGTGAGGGCTGGAGGCTTATCCCCACCATCTGAAAATAATACTTGAACTATTGCACTCCAGGCACATTTCTTGGGGCATTAGCAATCTCATTTCCGAGATGAGGAACAGCGGTGCTATTATGGGTGTTTATGATTATACTATGCAGGGAATAGGAAACAAGCAAGTTAAAAAAATGTTTTTAAAAAAAATCTGCCTTGCTGTGTACCCATTCTGGAACTGGTTGGTAAAAACACCTAGAGCTTCCGTTTCTCGCTCTCCTTCCTTCTTCATGGATCGGAAGCTCTCTCTGCCTTATTTATCCCTGCTCCACCTGCACCTTTCTGACTCTGTCTATCTCCTGTTTCCCAGGCCAGTGGGCTGTAAGTAATGCTGAGATTTTTTACAGCGAGGGTGGTGAAGCACTGGAACTGGTTACCCAGAGAGGTGGTAGAAGCTCCGTCCCTGGAAACCTTCAAGGTCAGGTTGGTCCAGGCTCTGAGGAACCTGATCTAATTAAAGATGTCCCTGATTACTGCAGGGGGGTGGACCAGATGACCTCTAAAGGTCCCTTCCATCACCAAACATTCTATGACTCTATGAGTGTACAACTGTGAGAGCCATGTGTATCAACTCATTTTTTCTCTCGTTTTGATTAATTCTAGAAAACACTGAATTAGAGTACTTTCCTATACAGAAGGTGACTCACATCTCTTTGGACCTCAGAAGTCAAGGGAAGATCCTGGAGAATCAAAATTCTCCAGAGGCTTAGTGTTCCCATAAGGGAACACACATCCAATATTCTTTATCTTTTCCTAAACGAAATCTCTTTTCCTCTAAGTAGATTGTAAAACAGATGCTCTGGCGTCTTCTCAGCCACATGCAGCCTTGCATAACTTTAAAAGATGGGCAAAGCCTGCCTTGAGGAATCCCTGCCATACCTCACTTTGCCTAAATACTGGTATGCTTGGTTTAGTTTCTAAATGTAGCTCCTCAACCATTCCCTGTTCAGCTGCTGTATTGCACCTGAATAAACAATGTGAGGGAAGTGAAGGGTGAAGGGGAAGCACTCTAATTGCTCTTAATGGCTATATTTTTAGGCAATGTTTGCCTAGTACTTTGAAGATGGAGAGGGTTACACTAACACTCAGTGAGTACTGAAAATTGCATGAAAGTCCCTGAAAATGTTTTATATTCACTCAGAGTGCAGATAGTCCACTGAAGTCACTGCAAACTGTGAGCCTGACTCTTTTACTTACTGCAGAGTGCCTCCAGCCTGTACACACAATTCCCACTGAAACCAGTGGAATTTCTGTCTGCAGAATGAATGTAAGATACATCCAGCAACGTGGTGCTGAGCTACATCACTACTTCGAAAAGATGCATAGCTATTCAGGTCTGAGTTACAGATGAACAAAGAAAAGTCAAACAGTAACAGTATCAGGGAGTTGTATGTCACTGTCCTTGGATCATTTCCAGACCAGATAAGCTGAACACTAAAGCACAAAGATGTGTGTGTTTGGATTTGAGGAGTTCCCCTTGTGACAGGTCAGAGGATTTGGCTTTAGCTTTCAAAGACAAAGAGTTTTCCCTTTCAGCATCACTATCAGAAATAATTGCTGTGACTCACATTACAGGTTCATTTACAGCTTTTTTGATCTCCTTGCCTTCAGAAGGTATCACTCACCACATACAAGGAACTTTGTCGGTGCTGGGGCCTTCAAGGAGGTGATACAAATCAGAACTGAGCATGCAGTTTTCAACACAAGCAGCAGGATCTAACACTCTGAAATGTGGCTGCACATATTACAAAGACAAAAAGCAGTAGAGAAGCTCCTCTGTCACTTGTAAATGCATTGGTTTTGCAAAAACTTGGGCAAAAGCTGTGTGAGGAGGGAAGTGTCATTTTTACACGCACTTTCAGACTCTGATGTCAAATTGCTGCAGCACCACCCAAAGACCCAACTTACCGTGAGATCATGCCTGATAGCGAAGTTTTCTGGTTTGATATCACACAGGTGAAGTCGGTGAGAGAAATCATTATCAAAATGCTGCACCATGTCCAGAAAGCTGAGTGCAATGTCAATGATGGCTCTCACTCTGCTTTTGTGGCCAGCAAGGGAGGGGCTGACCACATTTTCCAAAGGAAAAAGAGTTTTGTGCCAGGCATGTCCAGCTGTGAGATACTCCACAGCATAAAAGTGTCCACAAGAGCCAATAATTCGTAGCACATGTTTGCTGAAGTCCTGCAGCAAACTAAAGTAGATATATTCTTCCTGCTGGAGCAAGGACCACATGCTGGCCACCTGTGCTTTCCAGTGTGGTCCCTTCTTCCTTGTCCACAGGGGCCCCATGGTGTTGTTGGACAGTTCGAGTCCCAGCACATTTTTGACCTCCAAAGCTACCAACAGCAGAAGCTCTGTTTCAGGAATATCCTCTGTTTCCACCTCCTCCAGCACACTGAGATGCTGGTAGCTGGAGAAGATTTCCTTTTTGGATTTCAGGATGATGGGCTGGCCTCTCCAGTCAGCCTGGATGACTTTCTTACCTCTGTCATAGTAAAGACAATGCTTATACACCAGCTTCTGTGCCACACATAGGTCTTCGCAGAGGTCACCAGTCAGGGCTCCGCTGCTGTAGTCAAGACACTGGAGTGAAAGAGCAGAATATTCATAGCAGGACTCATGGACCACTTACAAGAAGGGCAAATAATCAGCAACAGTCCTAAGCTTGAGAGGCTTGAAGCAGTTGTGGTCCTGCAGACAGGCACCTTCTACAACTGTTGGGTGATTCAATTGTTTTTCAGAAGCCTCTGGAGACCTTTTACTAGGGGGAGTCTTGCTTCAAAACAGATCTTGAGATGGTGAAGAACAAGCTTTTGCTGGGCAAGTAAATGGATTATATGACTTGTCTGCTTAAGTTCTTGCCACATAGGAATTCAGAGGCACAAGCTAAGACACTTGGCCGTGCTGTGTGAGATTCTGCGCTGTAACACTTTAAGACACAGGAGATAGCTTCCAGTGTAATGCACGACTGGAAGGTTGAAGGCAGCATAGCTTAGACATCTCCATTTAAAGCACAGGAAAATCCATGGGTAGGTGAATTGCATGGCCCTCCATGTTTTAGCTTTGCACTCAACATGCCCTGAATGAAACTCTAAGAATCTCCTTTGGCACTACCAGGAAAACCCAGAGGTTGCACTCAGTGCCTCTTGGACCAAGAACTTTAAAAATTTTGAATATGTAAATGCTGGAGGACAAAATGCCTTTTCCAGGTTTTACATGTAATTATAAAAAGTAACATTTTAATATGAATTGCTTAAATACTTCATTTCTTTTAATCGGAAAATGATTAGCCTGTGAAAACATGAGAAGTGCTGCTCAACAGTTAAGCAGTCCCTGCAAATTCATACAAGAACTGCAAGGATTCCCTCACCAGTCCTTCCTTCAACCCATAATTGTTTCCATATCATCATTTCCAAAAGTGTAGGCAGTCAATATATTCCTATGGGCATTCAGAAGTGCAGCTGCAGGGACTGTTTTGGGCGAATCAATAGAGGGGATGCTCAGAGGTCTCTGGTGAAAGGGGAATAGACTGTGGGGGTGTAGAAAGCCAAACATCTGGGAGGCGGCTTGACAGTGTCAGCCTTCTTCATTGCTTTCTGGCATTTGAACCTTCATTTAAACAAGTTGGCAGCTCCCCCTGCATGTGGAGTACTTGCAACGGCTGCCTGAGCCCCACCTCATCCGTGACTTGCTCTTACACACACAAGAAGCACGATCATAAAATTCAAGTCATGTATTTTTGTAGGACAGTCTCCGAGGCGTGCACCAGAGAAATACATTCTGATCCCACGCAATGTTCAGAGTCCAACTTGAAACAACACACTGGGGAATGGGTGCAGAATTAAGTTCGAAATCCAGGCACTTCAGGCAGGCATAAAATTTACTTATACCCTGATGTTCTCACAGCCTACATGGGAACATTCAATGCCAGCAAGGAGAGACAGGTAGGCAAACTCTGGCATGAATGCCCTGACCCTGAGTTAGGGTGATGTGCAACACACACATCTGCATCCACATCAGGACAGTTCAGCAGTCTCAGTGGGCAGTCCACAGACTTTAGAGTGCACAGAACAATGCTCTTGCTTTTGAAAATCTGCTCCTAAGAATGTAATACAAATTTATGTTCCCTTTTTAAGTAGGAAATGTAATTTTTGTAACAGCAGTAATTCAGCAGTTCTTAGCATCTGGAACTCTAGAAAATTTTAGAAAGAAGATTAGAAACAGAAGGATTTTCTGTGGTTTTTTTCTTCCTTTAGAATGTAAGTATAATCACATTCAGAATCATTGCTCTCTTATTGAGAAGACCACAACCTAATTCTTCTGCTGCAGTAAGAGAATATAAGACTTTGTCCTGTAATTGGGTCCACATGCACACTTGCCCCTGTGGATAATTTTACTGCAGTCCATCAAATTCACCCTTAGATGATCCATGTGTATGGACCTCTTGCATCTAGAAGAACACAGGTCCAGAAGACCTGCAGTCAAACAGCTTATTCTCTTGTGTTGCCATCACATCATTCTTAATGTCATTAATGAGAAAAAGAGGCTGTGGAAAGAACAGTCTCACTTACTTTTCCCAGACACAGGAGATGAGTCAGTTTTGAACCTGGCTGCTGTTTAGGGCTTGTCTGCTGTTCCAGCTGAACCCATAAATCTTTGCTTATTAACCTAGTATCTGACAAACAGCCTCTGAATCAGATTCTTCTCACACTGAACTTGCACAGTGTTTTGCAAACAGGCGTCTGCAAAAGAGGACTTGACCAGGAGGTTCCCAGTCTCACAGCAATAGAACACAAATCAGCCTTCCAGAAGTAACATTCTCTGTTGGTCACCAATGCAATCAAGAATTTCAAAAAGCCTTCCTCAAATAAGCGGTCAAGAGGTCTGAATAATTTTCAAGGTGTCTCTCTCTACGCACAGAACACAGTGAGTCAGTCAATGGGTTTAAAAAACTCCTCAGTTTCCTGTTCATTATAACCTAGAAGGTCATCAGTGACTGCTTGCACCTTCAAGCCCTCACCACCCACCCCCCCACAATTCAAACTTTTAGTGTTTTATGTTTGACATAAGCATAGTATACTAAGTAAGGTTAGCTTCCCAGCCCTCCCACTACAATCCTTTTTTTTTTTCAGCCCCTGGATGATTTTTATGTTTTTATTCCTTCCCTGTTTCTTCTCTCCATTTTCCAATCCACCAACCTTAGAAGCAAAAACATCAGAACTGCATGCTGTTGTCCAGTGCTGCAAAGACAGCCAACAGCCTTTACCAATTCTTGGGTTTGGAGACATTCGGAGACTATATCAGCCTTTTAGGCACAGTCTTCACTGGTAATTTGTGTTGAAACAATTATTTGACCCCTATGTCCTTTCAGAAGTCATACAGTTTCACAAAAGTCTTCCATCCTATTGACATCACTTGTAGTCTTGTGCTCCCCAGTGTACTCGCTTGCATTTTACTGTATTAAAATACATTTCGGTTGACTGAAAACATTTAACTATTACTTCTCAATGAAAAGATGGTGTGTTTGTTATTTACTAACCCAGGAGACTTTGCACTAACTGCAAACTTTATGATACAAGATCTTGTGTCCTCGTGATGACTGCTGATAAGAAGTAGAATCAATTCCGCAAAGTGGCGTCCCTGGCGGCAGGGAGGCTGGATTAAAATGATCTCTAAGGTCCCTTCCAGCTTAGGCCATTCTATGCTTCTATGATTCTATGAAAGAAATCTTCCAGGCGTGGTCCTCCACACTGCCATCCCTGTCTTAATGACTTCATTTTGAGATCTGTTGATGACATAGTTTTAAATCTACTTAATGAGTGCCCTTTGAATGACACTAAGTGCCAGATTCTTGAAATTAAAATATGGAAGCGACACTAAGCTAAAAGCCTTATAGAAAAGCAACTATGCTACACAAAAATGCAAACATAAGCATAGTTTGGACTTGCTCATCTCTTTCTGTTTAAAATTAGCTACATTATTTTTAATATCCACTGGTACACTTATCAAAATAATTTTTAAAACCTGGGTTTAAATTCATGTAAGAGTTTATAGTAATGTAAACCATACAAGGATTTATATAAATTTAAATAACTGACTGTACCACCATCACTTTTGTGTATCTCAGACCTGAGACTGAGTCCTGCCTTGTAATCAAGTACTTCTCCTATGCAAATGCAATAATGAGCAAGGTTTTGGAAGGCATCAAAATTAATCAAATCCTCTAGAGAAAGCAGAAATTGATTGGTATAATTTACTGTGTTCAGTGTAAATGAAGATGAGAGTGGTGTTAGGAAAGAGTTGGTTTTTTCTGAGAGTTAAAGTTGGTCTGGTGCTGCTTCAGCCTTTCCAGTGCAGTACACATCTGCACAGATGTACATTTTATTCAGAAGGAAATAAATGTTCAGAAAAACCACCTGCAAGGGTAAACAGCCATGTAATTTTCACACACTTGCTTAAAATAGCTCATCTTATCTCCTTCTAAAAATATGACATGACCAGTAAAACAGTTTTTCCTGGAAGTCGAATTTTGCTTAATAAAAGGCGTGAGACTCAAACTATCAGATTATTTGTCTCATAGATCAACTGCACTTTCTGCAACTGCAATGATCATGCCATGCTCAGGAGATGTGTGAATACTTACTTGGGGGGCTAATGAAGATAAGCTCATTTTCCAGTCATTCCACTAGAAGGATAATCCTTTTCTAACGTCATCTGGGAAAACTGTCGCTTACAAACCTTAAGGATACGATTCAAGACTCACCAATGGAAACAGATGAACTGAGCAATCTCTCAGCTACTCTCCCTCTGGAAGAAGGGTCTGAAACTGAGCTATCACACAGTGATAGAGACAACTTTCTAAGCTCGCATCTGTAGCCTGATCCCTGCCTCGGCTTTTGAAGTCACGCCAGACGCTCTCCAAACTGAAGAACAGCACCAAGTCTCTGTCCATTTGTTTACTGGCAAGTGTGACGGCAAGGGCCTGGACCTCCCTGCGATTGGTGGCTCTTTGCACCTCCATACCACTATGGTCTTCCCAGACACATAGGGAGCAGGCAGGATTCATTCCTTCAGCCGCAATCCTGAGCTCAGCTATACCTTAAACTGACTGCTGGTGTAAAGTAATTGGATCTCACTGCCATCAAAAATACGTTGTCAGCACCGCTGCCTATCGCTTCTCTTCCTTTATGATACAGAATTTAGGGAAGATCTATGGCCAGTTTTTGCTTGCTGCAGCGCTAGATAATTTAATTTCGATTAAGATTCCTCCCTTCCCACCAAACTATTGGCACCACAAAAACCTTAAGAAACAAAATTAAACTCAAACCATTAACCCACGCTGCTTCTCTTCTCAAAGTGTTTCCTACACAATTCTAAACCTGTTTCTTTTTCTTTCTTTTTTTTTCAAGGGAGATTTTAACAAACGTTCACAAATCCTTTCTCCAATTTTTAATAACTACATCTTAACGCCAGCCCCTGCCAGACGTAAAGGAGGTGTTTACAAGCTGCGTGGCATTTCTGAAAGATGAATTTTGTAACAAACACCTTTTCGCCTAAATGAAAAAAATACCCCAAACCACAAC